CCCGGGGACGAGCTCCTCCTGCTGAGTCTCATTGCCCTGGCCCAGAAGGTCGAGGCTAGTGGCCCCTCCCTGCAATGATTCACAGTTGATTTAATGCTACATGAGACATGAGCAGCTCCCCTGAAGAGGCTGGACTGGGCAACGGGGAAGGGGGTGCTCATTTTAGACACCAAGAAGAGGTGTGAGGGGTCACGTGGTAAGGAGGGAGGTGAACGCTGCATCCCTGCAGCTCCTCTCCTGGCCTGCTTATGTTCGCAGAGCCACTGAGCCGCTCTCCTGGAGGGCAGCCTTGGAAGTGCTTTGAGGTCATCAGAGTGCAAAGTGTAGCTGGCAGTGCCCTGTGACTAGGGACAAGGCGGGTCAGTGGCGAGGACACCCGCCATGTTCCTGGGAGCTTGCATGCTGGGTGTGGACAGTGTGGCCTGGGACATGGCATCTGTCAGCCACATTCCACTGGTATCTGGTGGATACCCTGGCACCCTTCACTTTCACAGACAAGGAAACTGAATGCCAGCTGGTCAGGGAGTGCTGGGCCCACAGTGGGGCCTGCTGCCCTGGGACAAAGAGGCACATGCCCGGGCACCGAGAACCATTTCACCTCAACATCTGCTTTGGCCCTTGGCCAAACCAAGTTCAACTCAGGCCCTGTGCTGCGGCAGCCGAGAAGTGTCAGGAAAGGGCGCACACATGTGTGACCTGGCCCGGTACTAGACCTGGTACGGCCCTCAGACACTCAACACCCTCACAGACGCCTGGGGCCGAGGGGCCAGGGGTTCGCCACCCTCCTGACCTGGGCTGGAAGCTGCTCTCACCAACAGCCAGTGAGTGGCCACTGATCCAAATGGGTCAGGCCAGCTGGTCTGGAGCAGAGCAGGGCAGACCCTCTCTGCTCCCGGAGGGGAGAATCCTGCTCCTTCCTCTCTGTCTCCTCACGCAGGTGGAGTGGGCAGGTCGCCAGGACTCAGGAGGGAATCCTGGGAGGTGATCTGCTGGGCCCTGCTTTTCCGCTCCAGCCCCGGGGAGCAGGCTGAGCCCACGTCCTGGGCAGCGTCGAGCACCGAGAAGGAAGGCTGCTCTGGCAGGTGGCACTGGGTGGAAGGCAGGGCTAGGGCCTGTTCTCCAGCTGGCCGTGCTTGACCCTCCAGCTCCAGGCGAAGCTGCCATCAGGGGCCAGGGTGCACTGCAGGTCGATGCCCGAGTCTGGCACCTCCATGTCATAGCGAACAGGCTGCCCATCTTTGGTGACCAAGCTGAAGGCTGCAGCCGGGATCTGGGGGCAGAGCAAACCGGTGCTCAGAGACCACCTAGAAGGGAAAAGCTGAAGCCCCCAACCACACTGGGAGGCACCCCCTTCAGCAGAGCAGGCTGCCCCAAGGGGACTGACTGCCTTTCATTCTGGAGGACTCGGAGAATCCCACTGGCCCATTTGTGGGTGCAGAGGACCCCTCAATCACCACTGCCTCCCGAGACCCTGGGAGACACCCGAGGCCACATCCAACACTCCCAAGGGTACCATTTCTAATTATTCGAAGCCTTCCTCCTGGAGGGTAGGGCTGAGAGCAACAGCTCCTGGAACCCTGCCCCTGAGGGTGCACCTGCCCCCTTACCTGGCTACTGATGCCAGTGGCAATGTCGCCCACCTTGACCCGGTGGAATTCCCGGATGTGTAGGTGTTCACCATTGAGAGACTGGATTTGGACCTTCACACCTACGAGGCAGGCAAGGTGACAGGAGAGTGGTTGCTAAGTCACTGTGGGGCCTGGCAGTGCTGCACTCAGTCACATGAAGGTCCTGGACTGCCCGGACCTCCCTGAGCACATCGGGCAGGCATGTGCCCACCATCCAGGCCGGCTGAGACTGGGGAGAGGCTGACATGACCCTGGCGGGGATTCCTCTCTCTCTCAAAAGAAAGACACTTTTAAACAATAACAAAAGTCACTGTCCTGAGTAGAGGGGAGCAGGCCTGGCTGTGATGAAATGCAGGTTGGAATGACCCTCATACGGTACTCCTGCTAGCTCGTCCAGGCTGTCAACACTGGCGTTTGGCCTGCCCCTGGCTCAGAGCTGAAGCTGGTTCCTATGGGCAAGTAGCATTCCAACCTGGATGCAAAGTAGAGGGGAATGAACACAGAGATCCCCAAACTAGACTGTGGACAGCTTCGATAACTCCCTGAGCTGCAGGGGCCTTTAGTCAGGCTATGGGGGCCTATGCCATGAGTCACCTGGCCCTGTGGAGGGAGGGAGCCCTTGTTCTAGCGGAATCACAACAGAATCTATGTAACCAAGCTGGAAAACAAACAAAATTCGATGTCATCTTTCTCATCTTCTGACCTCAAACCCCAAAGGAGGATTCCAATAAATCTGTCGCTGCGTTTTTTACTAAAATGCTCTCAGGTCCCAATCCTTCCTTTTCCCTTTGGAAGACATTAATTGCTTAGTTTCTTGACTCCAGGCCAATGGAACCCACTCTCCTCCCCAAGCTAGAATCTGTCAGCAGCCAACGAAGGGACAATGGTCCTCGCTGCCCATCAGGAGAGGCTTGTGGGCCATCAGGGCTTTGCTCTGAGCCCAACTCACTAGCCAGAGACCTGAGTTCTGGTGCTGGTGCCTTCCTCCCCTTCTCTACTGTGCAGGGGAAGGGGGAACAAGCCCCTTAACCAGTCCCTGGGCCCAGGTCTCTCAGCTGCCCCGGCCGCTGAGTCGGCGAGAACTGACTGTACCATTGAAATGGCTGGGGGGGGCGGGGGGGCGCCCCCCCGCCCGGCCCCCCGTCCGGGTGTCGGTGGGCCGCCCCCGGGCCAGCACCACGTTCCAGCTGGAGCTTCGCGCCTCCGCCTGGCTGCTCCACGAGTGAACGCCGGAACTCAGGGTGTCCCGCGAGCTCTGAGACGCCTTGGATGGGTTCTGAAACAAGAGTGTGCACAGACTCAGCCTGAGCTTGGGGCCAAAGGCCCTGGGCCCTCTTCCCTGGGGGTGAGAAGCTGCTCACATCTGGGGCTGGAGGAGGGCAAGGAGTACTTCTGGGGGACTAGAACCTACCTCCCCACACTCCCTAGTAGCTAAACCCATTCCCTGATTCCCAGGTGTGCTGAAGGTGGACCGACTCACTCTGAACCATGATCTCTGCACCAGTGAGGAAACCTCCCAGAGAATGGGGTGACTGTCGCCCTCCCTCTACCCACTTTCCGCACACACACTTTGCCAGGGCTGGGAGAACCACGTCCCTGGAGCCACGGCTCCTGCCTCACCTTCTCGCTGTCATCTGATAGGGAGAGGCTGTCGATGCTGAGGCACGAGAGAATCTGCTCCTGCTCCTCCAGAGAGAAGGGCTGGGACAGGCTGTTCAGAAACAACTCTGCAGGGAAAGTGGAAGATGGCTGAGGGCCCGGGCTGAGGCTGGACCTACTGGGTTCCCCTGCACAGCCCGCAGGAGCTGACCTGCTGGGGAAGGGGCTGGCGGAAGAGCCATGCTGGGTGTGGAGAGCACTGGCAGGGGGCCCAGGGCCATGCCGCAGCCTGGCCTCCCGTACCTATCTCCAGCTGCTGCAGCTCCTGCTCGGGGAAGGTTGCTTTCCGCTCTGGTGGGCTGGGGTTTCTGGCAGGGGCTGGGTCCAGGGAGGACAGAGGCAAGGGCTCCCATGCCCCAGACTCCTCTTTGCTCATGGTCAGGGTTGGAGATTTGTTCCGTTCTGGGGGGTCTGGAGGTAGAGGCGGCTGAAGCTTGGGGGCCCTGCCTGCAGTGTCTTCAGCTGGCTGGGGCCCTGGGGCCCCCGGCGAATGCTTGCTGGTCTGGACAGGTCGGGCCTGGTGCTGGGCAGCCTGGGCTGGTGGCAGGTGTCCTGATTCTTTCTGTTCCCCTCTCCAGGGGCTCTTCAGACCTCCCACTACAAGACAGAGCACAATGGTGAGGTGGCGGCATGTCAGCACAGATGGGGACCAGGCAGGGGAGGCCTCTTCCAAGTAAAGGGCTAGGGGTATACAGAGATGGGACTCTGCTGGCCACCAAGTCATGAGGGCGGCACAGGGTCTCCCCAGGTGGCCTTTTCAACAAGATGGCCGACATAACAGGAACAGTTCTGTAGCTTGTATTTTCCTTCTAGGTATCAGTATCAAATTAAAAAATTATGGCATTTGCTCCAGAGAAGGACTTTGTTAATAATAAAAGAAGAATCAGAAATAGCTCTGGGGGCCAGCTGGTGGCACATCACACTCCACAACACTGGACCCACGTGGGAAGTCGCAGGTCTGAAACCCACAGTCTCCTCGTGCACGCCTGGCATGTGCACACCCAGGATCTGGACCGACTGAGACGGGGTGGATCATGGCATGAAGACCCTGTTGGGGGTACCTGTCTCTCTCGCTCATGGAAAAAGGAAATAAAATGAAATTTAAAAAATCTTGGCCCATGGCACAAACCAAGTAACTGGCCTCCCTGACCTGCCATCTCTCCTCCCCCACCCCAGGTTTAGGGCTTCCTGGGGGCACCGTATCGCTGGTGCGACCATCCTTGTGATGGGAAGTACCATTCAGGTTTTATTTATTCTGCTTTCACTCCTATAACCGCTGTGCTTTCCTGCCCACCCCCAGGTAACATTGTTTGATGTGTCACTTTCAATTTGTTTGCGTTCTTGAAAAGTGTATGTTGTTTTTATTTATCAATTTTAATTTCCCAAAAGGCAAATGTTGCAGGTCTCATTCTGTGGGTTCCTCTGTCCACTATGGTTGAAGCTCCCTCCCTGCTGCTCTGTGAACACTGAGAGGCTTTAACTGCTGCGTAGTGCTCCATGGGGCATCCCTGACTTCTGTCCACTCCCTGGTGAGGGCCCCCCGCCTGATCACACCCACCCCTCTTTCATGAACAATGCTGTGGTGCATGTCCTCAGGCGTGACCCCCGTGGGTCAGTGCAGTGCGCCAGGAATGGAGGCCCTGGGTCTGGGTCTGCGGTCTCTAGAGCGGTCACAGCCTGGTCGTGCATCCCCAGCAGCAGCTATGGGCCCACACCTCCCACCCCGGCCAGCACTTGGTGTTACCAACTTCTGACTTCCTAGTTGGATGGCTGTAAGTGTCACCTGGCTTCCTTCTGCACTCTCTGATTCCTAATGAGTTCGAGCCCCCTCTTTCACGGTGTAACTCCTCTTCTCCCTCCTGTGGGCATGGCCCCTGGATAAAGCAGCACAAAGCACTTGTACTCAGGGCTCTCTGTCTTCCCAACAACCCCAGGTTCTCTGGTGGGGACAGTAAGGTTCTGAGGTGGGGTGCTTTTTTTAAAGTCTATTTCTTTCATGAACAAGAGAGAGCACCCCCAACAGGGTCTTCCTGCCAAGAAGCACCCCCAGCCTCAGCTAGCCCTGGATCATGGGCACACGGGGGCCTGGCCTACTCAAGGAGGTCTGCAGACTCAAGTGTAGAACCTTCCTGGGGGGGATCAGCCTTGAGGAGTGGCGCATTCTACCCCTGTGCCGCTGCCTGGCCCAGGACCGTCTCCTGACCATGACCTGTGAGCCAGGGCAGGGCTCCTACCTTGCTGCAGTGCCCGGCTGACTGTGCCGCCCAGCTCCACGGCAGATGCTCGGTGGGCGGGTTCTTTCCTCAGCCCCTCCTGGATGGCCTGGGCTGTGAGAGGGGCACAGGAGGGTGGGATCTCCCTCACGGGCGGAGGCTCGCTGGCGATCTGGGGACCAAAAGGCAACACATGAGGCCTGCTTCCCTCACCTCCCAGCAGCTGCCTCCCTCCTGCTCTCTGCCATCCAGCACTGGAGACAGTCACAAGGAATGGAGGAGGCTGGGCTGGAACGAGGGCTGGGACTTTTCCTAGAAAAGGGAAGAAGTGAGGCCAGCAGTGGTTAAGGTGCTGGACCCCACATGGCTGACTGCGGTTTGAGTCCTGGACCTGGCAGCGTGAAAATCACTCTGGGTGTGTGAGCGTGCTTGTCCAAAACCCCAGGAGGAGAAAGGAAGAGAAGGGATTGTGGCGTGGCCATCCTCCCTGTGGGAGTGATTTCTCACCTTCTCATTCTCTCTCTCTCTCTCTCTAGGGAGCACACGTACTCTATGGCAAAAAAGAAAAAAGAAAAAGGGATCCAGACAGGATGGGGCAGTCAGGCAGCAGGACTCCTGGTCCTCCATGCCTGGCCTGACGGGAACGTGGAGGTGCCTGGGGTGTGGACAGAAGAGCTCTGACCTACCACAAGCTCAGTGAGACCCCTCGGCTGGGCTCTCCCATGCATGCCCAACTGTGGGTGGCAAGTGTGCTAGTCAGGACCCACACTTAGGATGAATCCCCCCCCCATCTGCCACTGAAGAGCAGCTGCAGTGGGAGGTCCCCTCCAGCCTGCAGCCCGGGCCCATGGCCTGCCCGCTGCCCTCCCCTCCTGCCTGCCCAGGGGCTGGTGCTGACCTTGAGGCAGAGTGGCCCTCGGAAGTGCCGGGTCCAGGGGTGGCAGCCATTGAGCATGTGCAGCATCATGCAGCAGCTGCTCCAGATGTCCACCTTGGCATCACAGGGCTTGCCCAGCACCACCTCGGGAGCCATGTGAGTCTCTGTGCCCGGGATGTAGTCCCCTGAGAAGGCGAGGACCAGAGAGGAAAACCATGAATCCTGATGGGCAAGAGCCTAGGCAATGACCACCTGGTTAATTCTTGGGGGCTCTTGAGTTTGTCTCTGTCAAAGCACTTTAAAGAAATGAAGCTTCCACGTTGAGCTTGCTGGGGTGAGCTAAGCCCCAATTCTCCTGGGGACCAGTCCCAAGCAATGTGTCATCTATAATGGGGATCAAACCCTGAAAGTGCTTTTCCAGAATGTGGATGGGGCTGGACACTGGAAATCAGGTTGGGGCTAGGTGGTGGCATGGTGGCGAAGGAGGCTGGACCTGAGGCCTTACCTGTGAGCAAGGACTTCCCCAGGCCATCGGGCTGAAGGCATATGGCATGGCCAAAGTCGCAGAGGGCTGCGCGGCTCCCGTCACTGGACAGGAGCACGTTGTCAGCTGCCAAGGTGGCACCGGGGGGAAGAAGAACGGGAGTCACGCCAGGCCCCAGCCCACCCTGGCTCGGCTTGGCCCGGGTCTCTAGGGAGGTCGTTTTCTGGCTGACCCTTCATGGCAGCTGCTTCTGATTAGTCATGGAGGAAGGGAGGAGGGTATGGGTTCAGGCTGGAGGCAGGATCTGAGGGTGAGGGGACAGGAGCTTCGTTTGCTCCTAGAGACACTGCCACTCTGCTGTGCCTACCTTCTCCCAGTGAGTACCTTCCATGGGAACCATAATGCCCAGCTGAGGGTGTGGGGAACTGTGTTTGCCCTCCCACCAAGCACAGCCTGTCAGCCTGGAGATGACCAGGTGGGCCCAGGAGAAGCGGGAGGAAAGCAGGGTCATTGGCTCGCAGGAAGAGCCTGTGGGGGGCTAGGGCCCTGGGGCGTGAGCCTCACCTTTGACGTCTCCGTGCAGAACCCGTCGCGTGTGGAGGTATTCTAGCCCCTCCAGGGCCTGGCCCAGGTAGTAAAGAGCTCGGTCCTCTGGCAGACAGCCCTTCTGCTTAATGAGCTGGCCCAGGGAACCACCTAGGGGACACAGGACCAGTCTTACAGAGGCTTCCCCAGGCCCCCAAGTAAGCCCAGGGCAAGCACAAAAGGCAAGTGGTGGAAAGCAGGCCTTTCCTGCAGATACCACTGGGTAAGGGGGTCAAGAATGGATTGACTGGAGGTCAAGGTCAACCTGGGCGAGAAGCAGAGGAAACCTCTGGCCTTGAGCTTTGAGAAAGAAAGAATGGGACTTGGCTCCATACCTTCCAGCAGCTCCATGAAGATGTTGACCCAAGGCCCTTCTCTCACAGCTCCATACAAAGGGACAATCCTGGGCGAGGTCAATCCTGCACATGCCATCAACTCCTCTGCCCGAAACACTTCGACCCGCACCTGCAAGGGCCAGGGGGCTGTGAGTCTGGGTGAGGGGAGCGAGCTGGCTCCCTGGCATCCTGTCTGGACGACTAGTGCTCCACCCAGAGGTGCTGGTGTTCCCACAGATGACACTCACGATGCCTATGACACTGGACCCTCCAAGATGCCACTGTGCACCAAGCACCCTGGGGTCAGCGGCAACACCTGTACTTGAATCCCACAGTGCCGACTGGTGTGAGGACAGCCAGATGGAAGCCACTCTCCTGACCCAGGCCCCTGGCTTGCTGCTCACCCTCAAATCTGCTAAACAGAACCTCTGCTTCTCCAGTCCAAATGTCTGGACATTTTCTAGGACATAGTTCCTTTGTGTATCAACACGCACGTCTACTCTCAGAAGTTGGGTTTCAGATTCTCTGACTCCGTCAAGAGCCGCGAGTCGACTCCTGTCAGATGCGTCTGAAAACTCAGTGCCCCTTGCAGTACTTTCCCTAACTCCTAATAGCTCTCTTTCCCACAGGACCGAAACGTCCACACAGGTGGTTTGCAGCTGTTTCCTCAGCATCTGGGCCCAGAAGTGGCTTCTGGGAGGAGTTTGGCCAAGGCCACTGCCACTGTGGACCGGGAGGTCTGGGATCATTCACTCTTCTGCAGGGAGCAGCAGCTTGGTGGGGAGAAGCTGGCCTCGGATACAAACACCTTGGGCTTAGACCCTGGCCTGGTTGCTTAAAAAAGGTAGCATACTTTCCAGCAACGGTGCGTTTTCATTTGTGAATGGTGGGTCAGTGGCGCCTGCTCCTGGGCTCCGTGAGGACTTGGAGGGATGCCAGTCGGCGCCATGCCTGGTGGCTAGTAGGAAGTGCTAGCTCCCCACCTCCTCCCTCCAGCACAAACACAAGCAGCTTATTAAACACTTAGACCGAGAAGAAACACTTCCTGGCTGCTGCTGGTTCTTGTGTAAGCCTTGAGTCATATCGCCAGGGGGCGCCAGTGGTAACAGAACCAGCCTGGAGGAGACCTGTCAGGGAACCCACTTCCTCCACCCCTGCAGGCTTTGGAGACTTGCTCCCTTAGCGAAAAGTTCTGATTAAGTGGGGCTCTGGCCTTTGCATATCAGTAGAGAATGTGTCACTTCTTTTTTATACTTGCTAGAGACAGAGAGGGGGAGAAGGCACGTCCCCATCAGGGCATGGTCAACCACAATCTCTCCTCCCCCACCTCTCGATCCCGTCAAGATTTTGGGGACACGTGTGCCTATAATGTTTTTTACACATTGAGTGGTCAGTCATGAAGGATCTAGGTCCCCGAACCAATAGACCACAAGGTCACCCCAGATGTCTCTCCTGATTAAAAAACATCTGGTTAATCGACTCACAGGAACTTTGATGCTTTGTCAGCATTTCCAGCTCTGAAAGGCCTCTGAACCTGACTTGGAACCAAGTTGCCAATAAGACATGTATTAGCAAATGTCTTTTTTTTTTGGAGAGGTTTTTGCTATAGGGCGCGTGTGCTCGCCAGACAGACAGACAGAAAGCGAGAAATCACCCCCCAGGGAGGATGGCCACGCTGCAATCCCTTCTCCTCCATTCTCCTCTCGGGATCTTGAGCACGCATGCACACGTGCCCGGCGTGAGTTTTAAGCCACCAGGTCCGGAACTCAAACCGCGGTCGCCTACGTGGGAATCCAGCGGCATAGCCATTACGCTAACTGCTGGTCCCAAATATGAAGTCAAATTTAGTTTTTTTTTAAAATTTTTATTTTTTTGGAGAGTTTTTTTTTTTTTTTTTGCTATAGGGCGCATGTGCTCGCCAGACAGTGAGAGAGACAGAAAGTGAGAAATCACCCCCCAGGGGGGATGGCCACACCGCAATCCCTTCTCCTCCATTCTCCTCTCGGGATCTTGAGCACGCATGCACACGTGCCCGGCGTGAGTTTTAAGCCACCAGGTCCGGAACTCAAACCGCGGTCGCCTACGTGGGAATCCAGCGGCATAGCCATTACGCTAACTGCTGGTCCCTTAGCAAATGTCTTTAACCTTCACCTCCCCCACTGTGAGATGTGGCACCCTGGGTTCCACATCGGTGCTCGCTGCAGAAACCACTGGCTGGACACAGCTCAGTTTCAACACAGGTCACACTTTGCTTCTCCTGGTGATAAACCTTTACGAAGTTAGGTTTCTGGAGGTCGCTGTGACAAAACATACTTTGTGGGTAAATGAGAAGCAGGACCTACAGGATTCCAAGGGCAGAGAGGCTGTACCCAACAAGGCACACGTCTCAGGAGTAATTTGGGGAAGAATGTAAGAAAAACTTCTCTTTTCAACTTAGGTGCATTGCTTTTCTTTCTTTTTTTAATTGCCAGAGGGAGCGTGTGCTCACCAGAGAGAGGGAGAGGGAGAGGGAGAGGGAGAGGGAGAAAGCATGGCCAAGGGGCGTGGTCACGCTACAGTTCTCCATGTCTCCACCCTGTTGGGATTTTGGACACACACACAACTGGGCATGTTTTTCAGGCCACTGGGGCTGAGATTTGAACCTTGTTCAGTCGCATGGGACCTGGCTCCCTTAATTGTTAGGCTCTGGGGCTGACTGGTCGGGAGGCTCTCAGAGGAAGATAAGGGAATCCTGCCATTATCAGCAGCACCAGGTGTCTGCATTCCTCGGGGAGCAGGTGGGGCCTGGACTGACCCACCCTACGTGCAGACTGACAGCTGACCCTGACCCACCTTCCCGAGTCCTACTCCCTATCAGGAAACTGTCGCTCCCGTGCCTTCCAAGGGCACTACTGCCCCTACCCCTGGGAGAAAGGAGGCACTGCCTGGCCACCCAAGTGCAGTGGGTGGCTGCCCGCGTGCCCGAGTGCTGCGGGTGGCGGGGGGCACCTGTGCGAGCGGCCAGCTCTGCGGGGCTCGGGCAGCAGCCGTGGTGCTGTAAGGCTGTGCCTGAGCGGCTCCGACCACCTCGCGGCGGGGAGGGATGGGCGTTCGTCCTCTTCCACTATATTAAGGGTTGTTTACCTTGTTGCCTGGGACTCTGAAGACCTCAGTGGGGAACAGCTGAGAAGCCGGTGACTAAGCTCCCGGCACTAGGACACTTCACACTCTCTCGCCCTCCGCCCGCCCTCTGGGAGGGACAGCTGAGCCTTCTCCAATAGCTGGGAGGGGAACTACAGCTGGGAAGTCGGGCACGTGGCCCTGGCATCCAGGCTGGCAAGAGCACAGCTCACGCTTCTGCCACTGTCGGGAGGTGAGGGTGCAGCCTGCTCACCTGGCGTGGTGTGTCTGAGGTTGGGGTACACCTGCACATTGCCCACTCTCACGCCTCACCCCGAGGCCCACACTCCACCTCCACGGTCTGAGTCCAGAAGGGGAAGCCAGACTCGCTCATATCACAGCTGTACCCTCACCCCGGAGAGCCACAGGGACCCGGGTGGGGCTGGTGCCCACTCTGCCCAGAGCTGTGTCCCTCAGGCCTGTTCTGTCCTTCCGGGGATCAGTGTCAGACACAAACCACTCAACACAGCCCTGTCCAATGGGCCAAGAAACTGGCCCACAAAATGTTCCTGAGGTCCTGGTGCTACCTCTGAGGCTCAAAGGGCTGGAAACGAGGTGGGTTCCAATCAAGGTGAGTCGAGAGGCAGGGGGAGGAGAGAAGACCCCGAAGGGGACCCTCGAGGTCTGTGGAACTGCTGCTGCGGCTGTCTTCCCCAGGCTCGGATGGTGCGATCTGACAGGAGCTTTCGCCCCTCTAGGCTCAGCTGGGCAAGTACACTACCTCTAACTCCAGCTCTAACACCGGCAAGATGATGGGGTGACAGACCCATGACTTCTGCCTCTAATCGAGACCCAAGGACTATGGGTCTTCCTTCTCT